CTTCTGCACTGGTTTTGTAGCTTCCAGAGTGAGAAGTCTATAGCAATATCTTGAATATAAGCTGCTTCTTGAATGAAACAGCTACTTCTCAGTTCATTTACAAGAGGAAAATACAATATTTCCAGGACTGTTAAAGTTTTGAGGGCTTCTTCTTTTGAAGTCAGCTTCTAATTGTTGTTGTAACCTATTTGCAAGAGGATCAGTCTGTAATTGTTATTTACAGAGGGGAACAGTGTAATTGTCCTTCTGTGGGCAGGGTTAGATTTTGAGGATTTCTGGAGAACATGTGACAATGTAAGTAAGACTTTCTGTTGAAGATGACTCAAGAATCAAAGATTAGGAAATGAAGAGTTTTACAGTAAGTTGTCTACTGTCTTCAACTATTAACATTTAACATTTTCATTCTGCATACTATTTCTTACTAACCCTTTATTTGGATTGAAGATTGGAAACCAGATGTTAAGATTTTGAGTGGTTTGTTTGGGATGTGTGAGTGTCAACCCAAGAGGGAGCGGTGGCATTTTTAACAGGGAACAATAGAAGAAGGCCAAGAAGGTACACCCAGTCCATTTATCAGACAGGCTTTTTTCTTTATTCAGCCTTCTGTTTAATTTAGCCCTAGACAGAAGAACTGGGCTGAGAAGTAGTTGAGAAATCATGATCTAGCCATAAGGAGAAATAGAATTAATTTTTGCATAAAGTATGTAAATTGTTATGTGAGGCTAAATTTTAATCCCTGTGACATGTTCTATTCTGCTGAGGGTCTTGGATTCCTGTTGAGAAGCTAAGGGGAAAAATCTTGCTCCTAACATTTAAAGCAGACTAATTTGTCTGCAGTGCTATGCACAGTCCTTGTAATTAAGAAGTTCAAGGTAAATTACAAGTGGCTGCAGAATGTCTTTCTCTATTTTTGTAAGGCACTTAAAGTCTGGGTGGAACATCTGTTTCCTCCTCCCCACAGCTCATCTCAGAGATTATTATGATTCTACTGAAATCTCACAGTGACATGTGCTGCTATTCAATGAAGATGTTTCAAACACCTACACAAAACCTAATTGCAGCTTCTGCCACTTACTGCCTCTACTGAAAAAAAAAGAAAATAAAAGGAATTTCAAAGTTTTGTGAGCTAAAATGGGAGTTGCCAGTCTGAGTTACACCTACAATAAGAAGCTGTGGCAGAAAGTACTTTAAAACATGGAATTATCCTGCATAATGTCACATGTGCTGAGAGATCACTGCCTCTGCAAATATGACTGAGCTTTTGCCATTCATTTCTGTCCTCAACATGAGGAGTGCAGAAATTGTGAAGCTCAGAGAGGAGATATATATACAGACATACTTTGGTTTGAGTCCCTTTCTCCTGCACAGATTCTCTGTGTGGTTTTCGAGAGTCAAAAATTCAGACTTGAAATACATTGTCATTTCTGTGCAGAGGTGAATTTCCTGTATCTCTACAGTCCAATGAAAGTTCAGATGTTGGTGAGAAACAGTGATGGGTGCATACCATCTGAAATTTCAAACCAACCAATTTTCATTTTTTGCCGCTCCCTGTGATTGGGTGCAGCACCCTCCACTGTGCAGGAATGTTTACAGAGTGCTTAGAGTGATGACAGAATCTGTTTCTGTGTTCAAAGCATTTTTTGGGCCCAGGCTCCTTGAAAGCAAGTGAAAAGCACCTCTGTGAGCAAGGCTGACCTCTGGCTGGGCTAACAGGTTGAACTGAGGTTGAAGATGTTTTTGCAAGTGAAGGCTTTTTTAAGAATTAATTCCCTTTCCCTCAGCCACCAGACTAATCACTGCATATTTGTTACAGCTTCTCCTTGCAAAGAGACTAATACTACTTGATGCAGCTGACTGCTGTGAAAATACAGAGGCGTTTTTGTCACTTCCTAGGAAAAAAAAATAACATTTCAGTTTGTCTTCTCTTCGTCTCAGTTGGTGTGAAACTGTGTTGGTCTGGTGAAATCAACAGAATGGTTGTTAGGAGGAGTTACCATCCCTGGCTTTCTGATACTTGCCTATGCAGCTGACATGCCTTAGCTGTGACCACCTTTGGTGTTGATTTAAAGTAATCTGCTTTTTTTGGCACTGACCTGGATAGGGACTGCTTTCACAAGCATGCCCATGAGATAGTAGGACAGTAACAGCTGTATATTTAAATGTCAGTCACTGTAAGGCAGTGCCACTGAAGCTACCAGTACAATTTAATAAGACAGATCCAGAGTGCAAGCAATGAAAGCTTCTTGTCAGGATGCCTCCAGTCATGATGGTAAAATCCTGTGAAGAAGGTTAAAGTCCCCATGGTCTCAATTCCTTACTATGAAAATGGTGTTTCAAAGGACAAAGCAGCTCTGCTAATTTACTGTCCTGAAATGTTTATAAAGATCCATCTTTGATGGCAGAGATTTCAAACCAGAAAACTATGTAGAAAAGAGATAATACCCTGAAGAGAGAGATACTACATTTTAGTGAAGATGGCTATCTATATACATATATATTCTTAGGTCAATGTTTGAAGAGCTCTTTGACCAAAACTCAAATCTGTTGCTGCTTATAGAAATTAAATAGTGTGTTTATCTAAGCCATTGAGATGTAATTTCAGTTTATACCATGTTAGTACAACTAATCCTTTCACTGATGTTCAGCTTCTGCCAATTCAGTCAATGGACTAATTGTGTGAAGGGAAGCATACAAGCACAGCAGTGTTTTATGTACTACATCTCACCACTTCCTGACCCTGTCTCCCTGCACACTACCTTCTTACAGTCTTCTAGCCAGATCTGTTGTACAGTTAGAAATGCCCAGATTAATTTTCCCTGCTTTGACAAGCTCCTTTACATTGCAGGAGGCCAACATTTTTAGTGCATCCATAGGAAGCGTCTCCACTACAGCCTTTCACCACACGAGAGACAGACTGAAGATGTAGGCAGCTGACAAATATGAAAGCAATGAAGAGGTGTTCTGAGGTTGACAGCACTTTTCATAGTACACTCATTTTCTGGGAAAGGCATGAGAAGGGAGATAAACAGGCAATGGTTTTGGCAAGCTGAGGAGAAGCTGTAGCAGACCAAGATGTTCCAAAGAAATCACATCAAAAAGGTAAGGGCGCCAACTTCATCCTGTCCTTTTCTCCTGCTGCTTGAATATTTTCTTGAAAATCAGCAATTCTTTCTTTGAAAATGCTGACATTTTCTGGAGAATCCTAGAAATGCTATAAAAGTAATTTAGCATTACTTTGAAAAAAACACAGTACTATTTTTATGGCTCATTCTAGCCCCCTCAATTCCTGCTCAAAGTTGGGTTTTTTCCCAGAAGCTCTGCAAACTGATAAAATAATAACAGTCCAAACATCAGAAATATCTCTGTGTTATAACTGTATATAACTGCTGCATATGGAGTAATAGTCAATCAAGATTGGGGGAGGGGGGGAAGCCACAGAGCAGTTTATAAAAAGTCCTACATAAGACTTTGATTCAATACTAGAAATAACTGAAAATAACTCTGAAAGTCTTATTCTTAGTCAAACTGCTTTTGCTTAAGGGTGTGCCAGCAAGGATGTATGCCTAAAAGGACTGTGACTCTCTGTCAAAAGAGTAAAACGATGTCATGCATGCATCCAAGGGGAGAGCACCAAGGGGTTAATTTGATTGTGTTTGTGTCTAACAATGTGTAATCTAGGATGTCACTCAGCCTTGATACCTAAGTGTACAGTCAGCTGGGTAAATTATAAAGTTCCTTGCACCAGTATGGGTTTGGGCCAAGCCCAAGGGATTTTGAAAATCTCTCTGGTAATGTTCTCAGCACAATTGTTTTAATGTAGCTTGTAGCTAGATCAATATTCAACTTCAATAATCTAATTTTTTCCCCTTTTCTATATATACTTGAAGAAGTTTTATTAAAAATTATAATGTTCCCAGTTCCACCTTCTCTGTGGTCTATAGTCCTAGGCAGACTGGAAAAAATGGTCGTACTGTACATTTTTGCAGATTTTCATAATGTTATAAGAAACAGAAGAGGGTCTTGAAATGTTAAAATAATGTGCAATGATGACAGTTTCAAAATTGCAACAAAGCTTCTGTTGAGTTTGGGTAAAATTGGTCTGAGTGTTCCTAGAATATGTCCTCTTTCTCATTATCTGTTTTTTATGGGAGCATCTGGTAGGATATATCAGACAATGATAGTTGCGGTAATTGGCCTTGATAACAGTTTTTAGTTTTCTGGTTATCAGATTTCTACTCCAGGTCAGGCTTCATATGTTCAAATGGACTATATTTGTCATCTGGCATTTTTGAAAAAATCTGCCTGGAAGCTAAAATGTATGTGGTAGCTGTGGGACTGAGTGCCTTCCTTTCAAAATTTGAGTGAACACTCCAAGATTTGAGAACACCTGAAGGGCCATCAATGCCTGGATGAACTGAGCATTTTAGCATCCGACCACTAGACTCTTCCAAGTTATTGTGAAGCATGGGAGTCTTTGAGGCCTGGACTAGTTTCCCATGGCAATGGGCCAAGCCATGTTATTAACAATGAAAGGGATACATATGGGATTTTTCACATAAGGACCTTGGCACCTTTAGGGTCTTAGCCCAAGCACTTCACAGCTTTGAGATCTGCTAGAGCAGCTGAGAAACAAGCTAAATTAGAACACGCTAAATGGTCTGGACTGAATGACCAAATTCTAACTTGTCTGTCTTTGTCATTTATCTTTCAGGTCCTCAGGCTCCATCAGCCACCGTCTGATCATATTGCAGCAACATAGGTGTTGCCATGAGGATCAGGACGTGTCCTGTTTGCTTCACAACTTGTCTTTTGGTCCTGCTGGGTACACACCAGAGAGAGCTCCATATAGAGGCAGAGCACACATTTCAAGAGAGCTGACAAACCAGTTCCTGCACATACATGTATCTGTGTAAGAGTACTGCAAGACCAGAGGCCTCTGTGGCACTGCATGGACATAAGAACTGTTGCAGGTGTGGGGTTAGACTCTGCTTTTTTGAGATATGATGCTCCGACGAGGATTTATTCTATTTCTTCCCCGACTTGTAGGCCTGCTGGTGGTGGCCTGTTGCTCAGTGTCTATTGTTTATATGTTGGCTTGCACACCCAAGGGTGACAGCCAGCAGCTTGCCTTGCCCAGGGTGCACAGTCCAACTGTGAAGGAGGGATATGAAGCCATTCTGCAAGAGCGAGAGGAGCAACACCACAATTACATCATCAGCTTGAAGAAACAAATTGCCCAGTTGAAGGCTGAGCTCCAGGGCAGGACCGAGCAGCTTAAGAACATGCAGAACCAGTACCCAGACCCCTTGGACATTCAGCTTGACCACAGTAAGCCAGAGAAGGCCCAGGCCAACCTGTTGGCCTTCCTGCGTTCCCAAGTAGACAAAGCAGAGGTGCACAGCGGTGTTAAGCTGTCCACAGAGTATGCAGCAGTGCCCTTTGAGAGCTTCACCCTCCAGAAGGTTTACCAGCTGGAGACAGGGCTGACACGGCACCCAGAGGAGAAGCCTGTAAGGAAGGACAAGCGAGATGAGTTGATAGAGGTGATCGAATTAGCAGTGGGGAGCCTGAACAAGCCAGATGGGGTCAGCAAAGCAAAACCCCGCCTATACACAGCCTCCGACTTCGTGGAAGGTTCGTATGCAGAGAGCAGGTTAGAAGGTGCACACAGTGCTGGGGAGGAGTTCTGCGTGACTGAGTTGCTGAGGGAGATGGGAGCTGTGTCAGAGCAGAGATGGCTGGGATAGTGTCAGTGCTGTGACCTAGTGATACTGTGTCGGGCACTATTGCAAAATGGCAGCTTTCCTGGGGAACAGGACCTGGTGACAACTTTGTGTCCTGTAGTGACACCAATGTGTTCTCACAGCTCTCTAGTCATGCGCTTGCCTCAAAACTTACAAAGCAAGGAGCGACTGACCAGGCTGCAATCCCAGATCTATTTCCAGAGTTAACATTGGCAACTGCAGTTCAAATCCATGCTGCCATTCTCCTCCTTTCTGTTTGTTGTTTAGTTTATCTTTTCAAAATATGTTTCTACAGTTTTTATAGGTGCTGAACAAGCAGATATGACGGTTTGGCACCACCTTTTCCATGTGAGAGGGTCAGGAGAAAGATGTTTCCTGAAACACATTGCTTAATATCAATTAAGCTGTGAGCCTGCCTTTATGCATAATTAAGAGACTTTGACAAGGTACCAGTGCTGTGCTCGGGAAACAAGTGCAGGAAGATGCGGGGAAGAGATGCATGCTAGTGCTGGCTCTGTGGAGGTTCTTCATGCACTAATGGTCTTGCTGGCTTTCTTATACCATGGTGAAATTCTCCAGAGGGAGGAAGTCTTTCACATGACTTAGAGCTCAAGAAACTGGAGGCCTCTGTACAGCTCAGTCTGAGCTCAAGGAACCTTCCTTATGTCCTCCCCTGTGAGGCAGGTCCTTACTTCTGCAGGTGCAAGGGAACAAATTCTAATTCTCACTCATCAGGGCAGACTGATTTGATTGCCAATGCAGTGATCCATGTATTGGGGCTGGAAACAAAGAGACTTGGCAGAAAATTTCCCTGCCAAATTCCTTTGGACATCTCTGTGACTTCTTGTCACTCTTTTTTCCCCCCAACTTTATTCTCCCAAGAATGGCAAAAACTGCCAATCAAAGGACAAATCCATTGCTCTGTGTAACTTCAGTATGTGTAGGGAGGACTGAATTATCTGTTCCAGTTCTGCATTTCAAGTATATTTTGGACTCTGAACTTGTTTTGGAAACAGTGCTCTGCAGGTGCTACTGCCTACACAATGAGTAATAAGCTGGATTCTGTGTCAGCTTCCGGCAACTTAGTATAAGTCCAGCAACACAGTAACCATGAGTCGAGTCCATTAACCCAGCACCAAGCCAGCTGTTTTCATTTTCTGGAACTGCCATGGGCAGCTGGAGATTTCTGGGAGTGCCCAGATTTGCACTGAAAGTAATAGCACTAACCCTCTAAGTGTTTTCCAGCTGCTTAAGCAATAACAGCACACAAAACTGTGTGCCTCTCATGTTAAATGTGGGGCTACTGCTCTCATCGAAAGGTTGATCAGGTGGAGAGATGTGCTGAAATGAAAATCAGGTAATCAGGGTCAGAGACAGGATTTAAAATCTGAACTGCTGCTGTCAGTATGTGGGATTTGCGTCCTTGTTTCTGCTCTACTTAGAGATGCCTTTGACACCAGCTTTGCTCAAGTGTGTTGCTGATCCTGAGTCTAGCTAGAAGATAGAGTTGTGCACAGTAATCTTGTTTTCTCCGCCTCCTGTGTGGATTTTTCTTTTCTTGTGCATCCTGGCACCTGCTATCACTTTTTCAGTACTAGTTCATTGTTAGGTAGAGTGGTGGTGTGTGGCAATAAACTCAGTTGGGGTCTGTATCTCTTCCTTTTTTTAATTTTGTGCATTTATTCTTGTCTTTGCAGAGGGGAAATGTTTCTTCAAACACTTCTTGCATTAAAGGAGAAATGTTTTATCTCTGTGGCATCTTAAAATTAGTGTTGCATTCTCTGCAGTTTCTAGACAGAGTAACTTGTGTGTGGAAATTAGACTATGACCCTAGTACCTTAATCGGAGTTAAACTCCTTCTCAGCAGATTTGCTGTTACATGAAATTTGGATAGGATTCTCAGTTCTCCTTCCAGAGCAATAGCTGACACGTAGTGGAATTTTCCATTTTTCCCCCCCTTAATCAAAACCAAGGGAGCCACACCTTCTCCCTGGAGCTGGAGATGTATCCATCTGGCTGCTTCTCTGCTTAGCTTCTCTCCTGACAGAGGCACTTGGACTGTTCAGCTGCTATACTGCTCCCCTCTCCCCTTTATTCCTCCCACTTATGAACCAAGTTCACTAGCTTTCTGCCAAGGGGAGTCAGTAAGAAACAGCATGGGGAAAAAAAAAGAAATTTCTGTGTATTATAAGCAGGCAAAGGACTGTTCTGTTTCCAGTAGAAAGCCACTTGCTCAGAAAGCAGGATAACAGGTCTGGTCATTAATTTATGTAAATAGCAGCAGCACTAAATAGATCTGGGAGTTGCTCATTTTCTCAGAGATGGAGATGATAATTCAGAGACTGACAAGCCTCAGTAGTGTGTTCCATAAGTGAATGGAATCACTGCCTGATGATATTCTTTCCTAATGTGAACAGCTCCAGAAAGTCCCTGGATTTTTAAGAAATGCCCTGCCATAACACCTTCAAATATGCTGGATCAAAAGTTTTCCTACTTAAAGTATGTGGCTGCCTAGTGACTGGAATTTTAATCAAGGTCTCAGAGGCAAAGGAAAAAGGAATAGCTTTGCTTCCTCAAATGGGCAGCTACTGGTAGTGGTCTATCTGATGGAATTTTGCCATGGCTGCTTACTGGGAGAAAGGAATGATGCTTTTCATCAAAGGATAAGATGCTGTATTTTACTGCATGTGAAGTGGGAACACCATTGTAGTACTGAGTTAAAACGAGGACAACAAATTCTGATAAATCCTCATAGTGGCTCCTACATCATCTAACAGAAGGGAATTAATGAACATGAGTCCAGGCAGTGTTTTAGAGACACTAGGAGACTTGAAGCCTGTAGTCTGTAGAACTGAGGCTAGAATTGTCATCCACTCAACAGCATTTTGTTCAGAATGCATGGCTGTTTGCTAGTTACACATTTCATGTCGATCCATATAGTTGGCAGTTGTTTGCCTGCCCTGCTGAATAGACATCAGGTGTTTTCCATTTCTTTAGAGAGCTCTGGGAATTGCTGCCCTGAAGACTGGAGACTTACTGCTCTTTCATCAGTTCTTCAGCCCAGGCCATTTTTGCCTCTCACTTATTCTTTCCCTTCATCTTAGGGCCATTCTATCTGCTGACACAGAGTTCCTGTTTACTTTTTTACATTGGGTTTCCAAAGGCTTTGACTTTTCTCTCTGTCTCTGAAAGGAATGGTGCATATTCTGAAACATATCTGCTGTAATGGAAGCAATAGATGATCAATTAACATTCTTTTATCCCTATTTAATATCTGGCCTTTCCAAGGCTTTCATTTCAGAAGCAATCTTTGAAGGAAAAGGGTTTTTTGTTCACTTTTTTGAGACTACTTTTTCCTCCCCTCATAGTTCATATCTCGGAATTGAGGCTGTTTAACACATCTTCCTGGATCACGTAGAAAGTCCTGGTGGCACAAATAAAGTAGAGCCTTTGGAAATGGAAAGCATTTGTTAAAGGCAGGATGTTCTGCTGGGCGAGTCACCAGAGTGACTCAAGACATTCAGACTCATTTCCAAAGCTGACTGCCTGTCCTTGGGCAAATCACTTTGTTCTCTGCTTCTAAAAAGAAGATACTTTAAAAGGAAAGAACATTTTTAAGAATGAAAAACAAATAGTTTAAATATTTGTGAAGAATAGCAATATTTAATTAGAGGCATTAAACTTGCATACAGTTCTCTTCAGTATAAAATGTTATGACTATAAATTCTTGGATTACCATTTTGTATAAATGCCTACACCTAAGCTACTTGTTTTCAGCCATAGTAGAGGTACTAAACAAGAACAAAACTACAGATTTAGAAGCAGCCTCTGTGTGTATAGCCCTGTGAGGGACCCCAGCCAGGTCACAAACTTGCATTCTTCTTTAAGGTACTTCTTATTTGGCAAGGTTTCCTTTATTGGATAGTACATCTCTCTCCAGGGAAGTGGAATTTGTGGGGTCACTGTTTCTTGGCTGGGGTAGGTAGAAGAGAATGTAAAAGCAAAAGCTGAAATATTGTGTGGTAGATACTATTAGATTTGTTAATTAAATTTAGAACTTATTTATTATGAAAAAATGTCAGTTCACTATGTCAAAAATGTGAAACACGTTTGAAACAGTCCTATCAATTTATCTCTAAAGGGAATGAAAATCAGATTTAATTTAGAATTTTGTTTATCTGAATGTCAGAAGGTTGCCTTAACCTTTCAAACACAAACATCTTTGGTAAAACCTGTGTTCAAAAACTGCCTGAGCAAATGAGTGCAACCAACAATGCACTCAGATCATCAGCAGGCTTTCTGTAAGAATAAATGGGTGAGCAGAGTTCAAAGGCCCAGATTTCTACTCTCTGGCCACCAGGAGGAAGAAATCAAGGGACTATTAGGCCACTATTCAGATGAGCTCCAGTTCAGTAACAGATGTAGTTCATGGTCTGCAGCTTGGGCAGACTTTCTGAAAAAAGCTAGGAGGAGTCAAGGGCACAAATCTGAAAGATTAGCAGCAAAAGAATTATGGAGCTGCTATCTCCCTAGATTCATTTACTATGCTAGAAGGAGGATTGGAGCATTTGTTGAATCAGCTTATATTAAAAATAAAACATGAAGTGAATACTGGATCAGCAAATCTGCATATATTATTAACCAGCTGAAGTGTTCATTAAGAATAAAAGACTTGGAGAATGATAGTGAAGATAAGACAGCCCACAGAACTCTCTCCAGATAAAATCACACCTCATTAGGTTTTTGATTATACCAATGTAAAAGCAGCAATACAAGATGAAGAGATTATGTCACTTTGCTCTTTGAAGAAAACTTTGACCCAGACTTTCACAAGAAATACAGACAGAGCTGACAGCCTATGGGTCAGATGCTCAGCAATGTTACACATCAGGGAGTAACCAAAATTTTTTAAAAAGCAAGCCTTATTTTGGTCTTGTTTTTCATAACCAGAAGAAGCTATGCTTCCTAGCCAGATGGAGAGGAAAAAAAAAAAAAGAAAGAAAAACAAGTTAAGAGGAGGAGTTTTTTTCAAGACATTTGTGCTTGTCTCTTTAACTTCTGCAAGAGATGGAAGGCATTGCAATTATACTCTTGTACTGATTAAGTTGTTAAGATGTTTACAGTGGCTTAATGACTAGTTAGAATTAGCATTAATTTTTCTTTCTTAAACCTAATGGATTTCCAGTGAAAAAGCTTTATTTCAGTATACACTGTAGGGACTGAAGTATCATTTAGAGTGGGTAAAATCTATAGCCTTTTTGCCAATTTGATCTCATTTAGGATATTATAGTATTTCAGTGGGGCATGATCGAGGCTTTTATAGTTCATGTTGGCTCTCAGCATGAACCAGAGCAATTTCACCCATCAAGTATGTCAAAAGTTTCTTACATACAGGAAATAAATACATGATTGTATGAATTAAGTATCCTGGTCTAGCCTCTGACAAACTGTAGTGTTATCCTTGCAGACCATTACTTGACCAGGAGTGGGAATTCATACAGAAAATAGCAGTCTCTTGAGAGCTGAGTAACAGGAGAGTTTTGTCCTGACTGACAGTGGGTGAAGCTGATGGCTGGGGCCTGTTTACACAGTTTTATCAGGGGACTTTCCAGAGCTCCTCCCAGTGCTCATCAGGAAATGGCCTTTCTGGGAGATGGCCTAATCCCTCCTGTTGCAGAGAGGCAGACTGCCTTTGCAGTCCCTCTGCATCCCATTACCATACATGTCTGCAGTGTGCAATTGGAGCAGTCTGAAAAATAAGGACAGTACATCTGCTGGGTTATACTGAGAGTGAGCAGTTGGCAATCTTCAGGGGTTTGTAACTCAGCCAAGCCTTGGAATGTGCCTGCAAGAATACCAAACAGCTCCTGCAACCCAGGGTTGTGTCCCTGCTACAGTGATGGCCTCCTCCAAATGATAGTGGACTGTGTATTGGTATAAAAGTAAATATCTCATTGCCTCTGCTGCATTTTCAGCTTAGATGTAGCAACTTAAGACTTTCCCCCTTTTTCCCCCTAGGAGCCCAACTTTAATACAAAAATCTCTTCATTTTTGTTTTCATGCAGGGATCTACCGTACAGAAAAAAATAAAGGCACCTTGTATGAGCTGACTTTCAAAGGAGATGCAAAACATCAGTTCAAGAAGATTGTTTTATTCCGGCCATTTGGTCCTGTAATGAAAGTGAAAAATGAAAATGTCAATATGGCTGACACACTTATTAATGTCATTGTGCCGTTGGCCAAGAGAGCCAGCAAATTTCGGCAATTCATGCAGAATTTCAGGTGAGTTTCCTTCAATGCTGCCTTTACTTTTTCTTACTAGGAAAGTAAGATGCAATTAAAAGAGTTATCTGTGGTATTCACGTGCCCTCTGAACAGAGAGAAGCTGTGAGACAAGCAGAGAAGAAGGAAAACACAATTCTTATCTCACTTACTGTGCCTGTGTTGTGCCAAAGTAGAATGCAATATGGAGATTGTTTGCCCAAAGTGAGGATGTTTTGTTCCCTTGGCCCATCAGGGCCAAGAAGGTGTGTGTGTGTCAGACTGTCACGGGACAGTCACGAGAGAATCAGAGATGAGTGCAGTTCTGTGCAGTTGTGAGCAAGAGTGAGTGCATGGCAGATTCAGTTAAGATTAAATACATATAGTATAGTATAATAAAGTAATTAATTAGCCTTCTGATGATGGAGTCAGATGCATCATTCTCTCTCCCCTTCATTGGAGTCGCCTTTGATTTAGCATAGTTATCAAAACCTCACTCACTGCTACTTTTACATAACAGCTCATTGTTCTACACAGTGATTTTTGAGATTACAGACTGAAAGGCATTTGGTTGCTTAATGCATTGTGATTAGCGATAAAAGCAATTATATTCCAGTCATCAGGGTTTCTGATTTGCAAGAACCTGACTCAAGAGTCTCAATCTATTTGTTGGGCACATACAATTGTGGCAACATGAGAATGCCATGCACTAGTTGCAAAGGAGCATTTCTCAGGAAAAGGGGAATCAGTGCTCCTAGACACTTTTCTAGGCTCCATTAGATAAAATATTAAGGCAACAAAAGGCAAGAAAAAAATGTATTTAAGCTTTCAGCATAGTTCCTCTTAAACTATTATTTTTTCAGCACAGATATGATGTTCAGAGGAAGAACTGAACTGAGATGTAACTTTAAATAGCTGCCCAGAAAAGACTGTGTTATCAAAAGATACTTACTCTTACAATGGGATGTTTTGTCCAATTACAGCCATCTAAAAATAGGCTCCTTGTCTAAATTAGCCTTCTGATTAGTATTCTGATAATCTTGTTTTAGACTGGGAGAAATTGCCCTCTGGTCATGCTGATCTCTCTGCTGATTATAGATGAACTCTTACAAACCAAACTTAGTGAGGCACGGTTCTAGCATTTGCTCAGATTGGTCTTACCCTTGAGCTACACATTTGATCTCTGCTAATACTTAGGTTTTAGTTAATGCCAAAGATCTGAACTCTGGAATATCTGTTGCAAAAACTCAAGGTTATGAGGTAGGATATTATAAAAATCCCCTTTCTCATGTTCTCCTGAGTGCTGAAGTTATTGCCTGCCTGATCATTCTTCCTGGGGCTGGATGGCCTCTTTTAACAGTGTCCTATTAATATAACAAATGCTGCTTAGAGAGCTGGTACCTAATCTGCCTGAAAGACTTCTGTCTCTTCTAAGGGAGAAAGTGAGCAGCTTTCTCAGGACAAGAATGCCTGTCAGTGAATCATGTCCCCAGGAATGCCTCTGAGGTTCACCCTACTCTGCCTTCTCCAGCTGCTGTAGGTTATTGAAGGAAGGTAACTTCTGGAAAAAGTCACAAATCTGTCTCTTTTCTCCAGGGAAATGGGCATTCAGCAGGATGGAAGAATTCACCTCACTGTAGTTTACTTTGGAAAGGAACAAATGAATGAAGTCAAATCAATACTTGAAAATACCTCTAAGTAAGTACCTGAACATCTGGTACTGTTTATATGCAGCAATCCTACGTGAAGTGGAGACTTGATAACTCAAAACTCATAGTTGTGCCAAAAGGTTCAAAAGTACATTGCAGAAAATAGCTTTCTTTCTGTATCAAATAAAAATGGCGTTACCCAGAGTCCCACAGAGTGGTCTTTAGAACTGCAGAGCAGATTTTAACTCAATTTACCTCAGTGCAACTGCTTTTTTTTTTCCCCTCCCCCCACACACTGGTAAGTCTTTAGCTCTTTGAAAGTGGCTTTGACTGTTAGGATGGAAAACTGACTTCTGAAGGCAGGTGGAAGACAATTTCAGTAGAGCACAAAGGAACTGTATACTTTTGGCCAGTTCTGCTCTGTTGAGTTTGGTTACATAGCTGTATTTGTCAAGATCATGTGGCACCGCAGCCTTTTGCTTGACTTCTTTGTGTAGGAAGAAAAACCTTGTATAGATACAGTAATGTAATCACAGGTAATTGAAATTTGCATACTGAAGATATTTTTGTGAATCTAAACTTTGTTGGGATTTTTGTGAGATCTGTCCAAAGAAAGTCTGTGGCAGGAATGCTAGCGTGTGCTTGGCACAGGTCAAGCTCTGAACGTAGATACGAAATCTCCTCAAGAGTCAAACAGGACATCTCTTCCCTCCAGTTGCTCTCAGAACTGTGATACTACAGGTTTCTATTAATCTGTTAATTCTTTCATAGGGGGTTCCCATCCCCAGCTTGTATTAAGAGCTGGATGGACAGGGTAAGTCGCTGAATATTTTCCTTTCTAGGTCAGCCAACTTCAAGAACTTCACCTTCATCCAGCTGAATGAAGAGTTTTCCAGGGGCAAAGGGTTAGATGTTGGTGCTCGATTTTGGAAAGGAAACAATGTTGTTCTCTTTTTTTGTGATGTGGACATATACTTCACAGCTGAATTCTTGAACTCCTGTAGACTGAACACACAGCCAGGTACTGCTCCTCATGAAGTGCATTGTCTTTCAACAGGTTCCACCTATTTTGTAAAATCCTTCACCAGAGTATTCTTGTCTTTGAATTGGTAATGAAGCTACTGTAAATCAGTTGTAACAGTTCTTGCTCCAATTGTGATAGAATCTCTTGCCTTCAGCACCTTTCTTTCTGGAACAGGATCTTTTTATTAATTATATCCTCACATTTACATTCTTGTGGAAAGAACATAGACTTAGTGCAAAACTTGTGTGACTTTGTCTGGATATGGTCAGGTCTGGACTGTACCATGTAAGAGACAAGTGTGTTTTATACAGCTTTTTTAAAAAAAACAACCCATTGTCATTTCCAGGGAAGAAGGTATTTTATCCTGTTCTCTTCAGCCAGTATAACCCCAGTATAATTTATGGTCATCATGATTCCATACCATCTTTAGAACAACAGCTGGTAAGTACATGCATCTCTGAATGCCTGCTTCTATTTGAACAAAGCATTTTTTAAAGGTACATGTGCTCTTGGATAGCATTTCCCTATTCCTTGTGCACAGTGACCACCACAGAGACAAAATTAACTACAACACTCAACTTACTGTGAGTTCTGCAGTGTTTTTCACTGGGAAGTACCTTGGTGCCATTTATTTTAAACCTTTTTGAAGTTTTTACATGGAAACTAAGAATTTTTTAAATGTCTGCTTCTCTGTTAGAAGGAATTTCCTAACTAGTGAATAATTCCTCCATGGTGTGCTATTTTGGGGTGACAGTCATTGACTTGCTCTGATTTCTTCCTGTCACTGAATACTATTTGCATTTGAAGACATGACATTTGTAAAAAGCAAAGCTGTCCTCAGATCAGTCAGTAAAAGGAGAGCTCCAGGAGCTGTCACAGTTATTCCCTACTTACTTGAACACCTTACAGTGGCCTTTCCCTTCCCACAGTTCATGACTGAACTCCCTGTGAGCAGACAGTGTGTTTCTGAAGTGTCTGACTCAAATCACATGCTTGGAACTGTCACTTTATTCTGGTACTGATACAACACAGCACAACTCCACTGATTTTCATCTCACCTGCATAATTTTGATGTGAGAAAAAAGCAGTATTTTTAAAAACATTGCCATAAGGCATATGATTAAGAAATGTATGAGTCTCCTGAATGAGGAGGGAGCTGTTGTGAGGAAGAAAGAGCACACAGATGAGAGGTTCACATGAATGTTAGTGACCAAGCCATTGCTTGGCACTGCTGCAGACACTGTTCTCCATTCTCTTGTGCTCTGGTGTTGCATTGTTGTTGAGCCTAAAGGCCTGATAGAAGGGAGTCTTGCTTCTCTCCAGAGTCAGTGGGTCAAAGTCCTCTCCCCACTAGTGCTGCTAAGTGGCTGAACTTTGAAATTGAAACATAAGCCAACTATGCAGCTTCATTCAGTTCCTCTGGGCCAGGTCCTAACCTGCCACATCTGCCTCTCTTACTGCCAGGCACTGCACTTACTAGGGCTCATCCTGTCCCAGGCTGGACACTGTCCCCAGAGCATCCCAGCTTCTACTGTTGTTCTGGATAAGTATGAATTAAGGGTGGTGTGAGCCCAGAGACAGTCACAGTTGAAAAAGATCACCTGGTGTCTGAGTCCAGTCTTCTGTCATCACTACCTCCACCTTGTGCAGTTCCTCCATAAAAATGAAGAATGAGAGTTTGAAAAGTCAATCCAAAATATTTTAAAGTAATTTTTAAACTACTCTGTGTTATGAGACATATAGCCAGAAAGCCTTTTACCGAAGTGTCTGGAAAATTCCTTGTACTGTTTTTATTTCAGAAGAAACTTGTTCTGATCATACCATGGGATTCACATAAGCTTTTCTTTCTCTGCTCAGAGCCTGTCAGGGATCCTCAAGCTTGTAAAAATTGTGCTTAGGGAATGAAATAGAGTTTAGCTTTCAAGCTAGCATAAATTCCACAAAGTATATTGTCAGGATTGTGAAAATATTTATAGCTAATATTGAATCATAAAATGTGATGCTTATGTCAGAAAAGCTTCTTGATTTAAAGAAGTACAGCCAATCACATTTTTATGTATATTTTTGTACTTTTAGCCCACAATAGTTGCCAGGCATAAGGCCAGATCTATGCCAATAAAATAAGACTCCGTTGGCTCTCTGTCCTGGAACTTGGGCTTCTGAGGAGAAAAATCCTTCAGAAATCTTGGATAGAATTTGATTTGTGCAGCAGCCACTTGCCCTAATGGGAAATAATAATGCTAATGCACACGAGAAGCTTGCTGTAAGGGCATCGTGATGGAGACTTCTTGTTACAGTGCAGGCCTGACAGATTCAATCTTATTTCCTTTTAATTGGCTTCTGCAGTGACTTGGCTTTTTCAAAGAAAGGAGAAATGAGAAATGAAATGTATAGCAATGTAAGCAGTAAAATAAATTTTTTAAAAAAGCATTTGAAGTGACAAGAGTTATAAACAAAAAGGGGAGGCATGAACAATAAATCAGGAGTGAAAATTTTGGAAGAGCATTTCTTCATAAAGGAAATACTAGGATTTGTAAAACCAGAAATGGAAGTTCTTTTTCCTCATCTTCTGAAATTCTGTCACAACTAAGTAAAGATTTTCTAAAGAAGCTGCTAATGGATAGGTTTCTAACCAGGCATTCAAGAGTGTGAAGTACTGCTGACTTGCTCAGAGAATTTAAATGCCTATCCCAGTCCCTTGAAGCTCTTGGATGTCTCACCAGATTGGGTTAGGTCACTCACATGCATGAATTATGACCTTAGAGATCTGTACTTGGATATCTGCCTTTCAAAATTATAGCCATAGTTTCTCAGTGCTCTGATTTTCTACCTGTAATACATAATATTTTGATTGTCCATCTCAGGAAGGCAGACCATTCATCTTTACAAGGGCTTTCATGGGATATATATCTATCACTAAGCATTTCTGGAGTTCAATTTTAGGTGGATATAGCATTTTCTGTAATGGAAAATTATTCTTGTTACTCAAAATCAATGTAATCAAAAAGCTGTAGATTGTGTGATCAGATTAGAACCACTGTTTTCTTCTAGAGCTCTTGTGGTCCACAATGCAGATGCCACCATCTGTTCTGACAGCAAAGTCTGGTTTCCCTGGTTTACCAATATGTTTCTTACATCAGGTGTGAATCCCACAGAAACTAACAGTTTTGGAGGATGCTTTGCCTGCAAAGAAATTATCTCCAGAGCTGTGGTATTGTTCTACTTGGTCTACAACAGCAGGAGTGGAGCAAAACCTGATTGTTCTGGATCAGGGGGGTTATCCATGATAGCTAAGAATACAGCTGTTTTGGGGGGGCAGATATATAGATATATCCAATGAATATCTACAAAAACGGGTTCAGGACCAGCTGTGGATTCACATGGGGAAGAATAGAAGGGCAGTTGCTCCTATTTCTGACCACATTCAGGTCAGAATGCTCACTCTGAAAGCATTTCTGCTTCTATATAAATATTCCTTTCCCTCCATGCAGATTATTAAAAAAGAAACTGGATTTTGGAGAGACTTTGGTTTTGGGATGACTTGCCAGTACAGATCTGATTTTATCAACATAGGTAAGAAAAATACATTCCAATACACCTCCCTGTTTGCTAAAACACAGAAAATTATGATTAGCCTCCCTTTCCTTTGCCAATGTGTCTGTCTCACTAATTTGCAGCAATGCTGTGGTTAGATGTTCAGGCATTTCCTAGGTGTAACAGAATTACCAGAATCTAAACACTGTTTACAAATAAAATTACAAATAAAGAACTTTTCTCTGATGGTGAAATATTTGAAGATGGGCAGTTAAATGTTCACAGAAAGTGTGTGTGTTTTAAAGGGCTGACTGGAATCAGAAAACAGCTGCAGTGCAATTAATAGCATTGAGTTTGCTAACAGATTTCTAGTTTTATTTTGAATTTTGTCTGTGTCAGGTGGCTTTGACCTGGACATTAAAGGCTGGGGTGGTGAAGATGTGCATCTGTACCGCAAGTACCTTCACAGCAACCTGATGGTGATCCGAACGCCTGTCAGGGGTCTCTTCCATCTGTGGCATGAAAAGCAGTGTCTGGATGAGCTGACTCCAGAGCAGTACAAAATGTGCATGCAGTCCAAGGCCATGAATGAGGCTTCCCATGGCCAGCTTGGGATGCTTGTTTTCAAGCAAGAGATTGAGACACACCTGCAAAAACAGAAATTGAGCAGTAAGAAGACATGAATACAGAAAGGGAGGTTGAAAGCCTCTGAACTGGACTCCAGGGTGTTTTGGAAAAGAGGTTTTAACCAGAAAAGTTGGGATGAGACGGAAAGAGGATGGAGATTCCAGCAGGATGGCAGCAAAAGAAGAGGGAAAGCATCTGTCCTCCAAACTTTTGTTTTTATTCTAATGTGGTTTTTAAGTACTCCACTATCCTGACTGTTCAGCACTTGCTTCTGGGGAAGACTTGAACACTTGATGAAATTCAAGGTCACATCATAGAGACAATGAACATTATATGTTATTATGTGACCAGTGTGGTATTCACACTAACAAATGGATGTGCTTTTCTTTTGAAATGTTTGTAAGATGTGTACAGTTATTTAAAGGATTGATCTTTTGGTGGGCCAATAATTACGAGTTATTTCCTACATCTAACTTGACATATCTAAAAAGGGCTATTTTTTAAGTCCGGGGACTCCTGCTCTGAGGACATCTGATTGTTAACCATGGTAAAGCTGGAGTGACCAAAAATACTTTTTCTTTAGGGGGCTGGGATGGGGGCACAGCAGCAGTGCATTAACAGGCCATTCCCAGTTAATCCAGAGAAAGAGCTTTCTCAGAAAGTGCTTTCTAAACTTAAGAAAGAGAAAATCTTACTGGTCAAGTGTGATGGTTGAAAAACCATCAACTGGAGGGTACTGTTTGTTCTCCTCTGTGGACAGTGAGCCATAAGCAATGAGCCACATCTGTATCATGTGAATCACATAGTGTATTTCTGCTTTAGAATGCTGTATGTATTTCAAGATTTATTTTTAAATGAAATTCATTTGGCTTGAAAATTATTTTGCCATACTTCAGGTTTTCTACTTCTAGCCTTAGTAGGAAATAGTACAACCTTCCAATGCTTGGAAAATGCTCTGCAGATCTGTGTTCCTGTGGATGGGAACTAGAATAGATAAGTGATTTTTCTACACAACCTGGGCATTGGAAGGCAGAAGCTTTATCATGCTGAAGAAAATGAAATACATATCAACTTGCAGTACTGATTTAGCAGGAGGCTTTAAACTCCAGATGCCAGATACCAACAGTGATGAACATTTTCTGACTTTATGCCAAAGTATTTCTTCTAAACCAAATAGAGTCTTGCCCAGGGTATAAAAAGCTTTCTGTAATTAACAAAATAAATTTTTGTGATGGACTACTGGACCCTGCAAATTCTCTTATAATTATAGGTACTAATTGTAAAAATTAGTCATCTTCTTGATAGTTTTTGTTGCAATTGCCTAAAACTGTTGAAAGTTTGAGTTACTGCTCGTATAAAGCATTTTCTTTTAATGCTGACTGCTATTTACCATTTTAATATATACTAGCCAACAAAAACTGCACGGGCTTGTAAATCCCATTTGCTTACCTAAATGCTGTTTCTCTGAGCAGCCTCTTTGTTTTTTGGATTCAGATTAATTCAAGGCAGTCTGAACCAGATTCTAATTTGGTTTTTGGCTTGCAAAAGCTGGGAGAAAGAAAGGTAGCACTGAACAATGAATGAGCCACTCTTTGTTGTGCAGCTGTGCAGTAGGAAGAGCGCTATGAACCTCTTTTGAAAGCACTGCATGCAGGTTCTGCAGACAGACACCATGCTGCTATAAGTACCTTTCCCTTGGATGGGTTTATATGTGTTTGACTTTTACTGGTGCAAAGGATCTGCATTGCACTTGCCTTGCAAATCACCAAGTGTCCAAAACACTGCAAAAGTACAAAAAGAATAGAAACTTTGTATACTTCAAAACCTCAACCCCAAAATACATCACTTACCATAGAAACTTCAGTAATCACTCAAGTAGGTCCTCCAAAGAACTGCTTTGTTCCCAGAACACGTGATAAATTATTTATAAAGGGCTTTGTATTGATGAAGTAACTTTTCAAACATTATGCAATAGGAGGAGACAGGTATGGCTTGTTGAGTGCGTATCAAAGTGTGGTTATGCAGCTGGTCCAAGGCAAAAGTTGTTCCTACAATCCCACTTAAACCTGAATTTGAAACTGGGTGTTGTAAACTATGAAAGTTTTGCAATCATGACCTGTGCCAAGCCTCACCTTAACTTTTTCCACTATTGTTTTATTCAGTCTTCCCTGAGCCACACTTGTAGAGCAGAACTAGACCAGATATCTCCAGAGGTCCCTTCAAGCCTCTATTAGTCTCCAGTTCTAAGCACTGGGCAGTTGTAAATTCAGCACTTCATTACTTTGCAAGCACATAATCCAGATCCTGTCAGAGTTTCACAACTTATGTTTTTAAATAGCACCTTTGTGATTCTTATGTCTGTCCTTTTCCACAGAGACGCTGTTCCTCTTGCCAGGAATAATACTGTCTATATAGTTTCTTTCCTTGGCTGCAGAAGCCAGTTTGGCAAGAGCTGAGATGGTATCAGTGATGGAGAGATCCAGCCCACAGTCACTGATGATGTGCAGGGCAATCTAATCACAGCAGAGATCTGTCAGGGCTCTCTTACAGGTGGAGACTGCACTGACAAGAGAGGTGAGGAACAGCATGAGAAAGGGAAGCTGCTGTTACTCATGTTTCTGTCAGCCAAGTGGAGCTCTAACAGGTCTTCTAGCCCAGTTAGAAAAAGGTGAAATCCAAAGAGAACAGTCAACAGAACAATAGATTTTGTTATGAAGGTGTCTACCTTCCTTGTCCCTAAACCAGCCTGTGACCTTTCTCAGAGTGACAACTGATTTTATCCTGGTTGAGGAGGAACTAGAGATGGCCCTCTGCAGGTGGGGAGGCCATCCAGGGACTCCTTGCTTTACTTTGTGATGACTGCAGCATACTCTGGCTAAAGGCATCGAGCAAAAAGAAATTCCCATGCTCCTCCAGGATTCATGATCTCTCCAGCAAGCAACTTGCAAATTAACTCCTCTTGTAATCCTTACACAGCATCCCTTGAAGAAGGAAAGATTTTACAGAGAAAACTCCCAAAGGTATGTCATCACCCTTGATTCTCAACTGCTGCAAGACATCCTTGCTGCACAGACTTTCAGGGTAACTGGATTTTGGAGCAATAGAAGAGCCAGTCTTAAGGGGATCTGTTCTAGCAAGGTAGTTGCCTTTGCAGTCAGTGTAGTCATCTAAATGTTCATATTTCTTGCCTCACAGCAGAAAAGTGTGTCTTTGAAAAACTGAGGCATGACTCAAACATGTGGGATGATGTGAACATGGACAGTAGTTTTCCCTAGGCTGTACTGAGACAATATTTGCAAATAAGTAGTTTAATATAAAGGTAGTAAATCTACTGGTCCACTTGTCAGCAGGTCAAAACCTGAGGAGTTTTACTAAAGATCTTAGAGCTAAAATTAATTATGGCCCGCTATGTCCATGACAGATTGCCCTGCATCTTATTTTGCAAGTTAACACCCTGAGTTTCAAAATACCTTTTTAGAGCATACTTTTCTTCCATCTTTACCAGCCCAATGGTCTGCAAAACACTTCACAATTTGTCTCAGCAAGATATCAGCTGTGGCATATTCTTCACATGAAAACAGATGTTTTTCTGAAGGACCTTTCATTTTGACAAAATTTTTAAAAGAAACAGTTCATAAAGAGGGAAAGAGGGATGTTTTCATGATTGATACAGATCATATTGAAATTATCTCTTTGATACATGTGATATATTGCTCAAGAAGCTCATGAAGTCATTTGCAGTGGCAGAGTGTCTTTACATTCAGAATCTGTTTACATTAAGGCTTTATTTCTAGCAAGTGAAACTTGCTGTAACTGGAGTGTAATCTTCTCTTTCCTGGAATGGAAAGCACCTGTCAGCATAGCTGTAAATTTTAAGACCAGATGATCACAATTTTTTTAAATCTGTATTCTGCAAAACCCAGATTAATGTAAGACTGGAAGTTTTGACTGCTTCTTCAAGTTGAGTAGCCCTGATCTAACAGAAAAAAGAGACCAGGTAAAAAGAGGTAAACAACTGAAACAAGACCAACTCTTATTCACTATTTGAGGATTGTGCCTCTAAAAATGATGTTTGCAGATTCAGACCCCTCAGCTGCAGAGTTTGTCATGTGCAACAACATTGGGGAACCTGGATGAAGACTAATTTCTTATGTGATTCTTTCCAAGCTCTCCCCCAATCTTCTGAATGATGTATTTAAAGAGCATTGTAACAGATAAGAAAAAAGAACATGATGTTGAAAGAACAAGTTCTATAATGAAGTTTACACTAGATGCATCTCAGTAATTGGGACACAACTTGCAATAAATAGCTCCATTTTGGAAAACAGCATTCTTTACTGGCAAAAACTCTTCTGTAAACTGTTTTAATACTGATATAGGTGTTCCTTCTTACATTTTTAGGCTCTGTACATGTGGTTGTCATTCATAAAAATTACTCTGTCCCATCTCCTTTCCTTTTCAAAAAGGATAATCCCTCTCAATGCAGAAAGGCCTGTGTGGGAGTTAAATGCAGGTTAAAAGAGTGAGGATCTATATTCAGAGGCTGGAGGAGTTTAAAAAAATGCAGTCTTCACGTGTGCCAATCTCTTGTCACAGAGAGCACCTTTCACTGAAAGGCACTCAGGGTTTGCTTGGATGTTTGGCTGAACATCCTTCCTTCCAAGGACACAGCATTTTATAGAATTAAGCTTCACATTTTGCAAATTACATATCAAGATCGATTCACCTCTCCAAGTTGTTTTGTGCCTTTGGGAAGGTTATAATCTCATTCAACTGTAGGTACTAATCTATTTCCCAGAGAACCTTGCATTCAAGAACAAAAGGCAGCTTGAATATAGAAGTCCCCCAAGGAAACCTTCAAATGAAAACCCAATGAAAATCCATGGCAGGATCTCCCTGATCAACTGATTACTTCATCAACTCATTCTCTCCATCTTGTGGGATGTATCCAGGTTTGCAGCTTGCTGGGCTATTGCATCCTGTAGCTCACAGTACTTATCCTCCTACTGCTTTGTTGTGAAGGATACAAAATAGAGGCACTGATGGTTTCAGGTAAGTATCAGCAGCTCTAGTTCCAAGTCCAGTTCCAAGTTCTTTGTGAATACAAGTCCGGGGCTGCCCAACGAGATGGGGAGGTTTACTCAAAGAGAGAGATGTAATCTGGCTCTTGGTCCTCTTGGCCACACGGATAAAGCAACAGCTCCTTCCCCAAGGAAGTGATGGGTTCGTCCTGTTAATATAGCATATGATCAAACACCAGTTTCCAAACAGACCCTGCCTGTCACAACTTCACAAGGCAAACAGCAGTCTTCCTGCCTCTGTTACATTGTGGATGTGTTCCCACCACTGTGTGATACAGCTCAGTTTCCTGGAGAACTCAGGGAAGGGCCCTCTGCCCTCATAACACAATGTGCTCTGTGCCATAACTCAGTGACACAGCTCTGGCAGTTCTAGGAAAGAGCTGTGCTCATCCCTGAGAATGGATGAGCTTCTCTGACATGGAGAGGTGCCCTGCCTAGAAAGTGCTGGAGCCAGGAATGTGCAGCATGCAGGTAGAGCCAGACCAGGGATTGTGAACTGTGCTTCTGACTGTGTTTGTGGGAGGGACAAGGGTGGATTCTGGAGAGAGCACACACCCTCTGCTTAGGCAAGTCCTGTTCTAAGTACAGTGCTTCCAATCTCATTCTCCATCCTAGCAACAGATGCATGGTGAGAACTTGCCTTCTTTCATGCTCACCTGGTGGGTGATAAGCAGAACCCAGTGGGGCACTTTGGCAGAGTGGGTTCATGTGCCCACATGTCCTGTAGTGCAGGGGAGCTGCAGGATTCTTTGCAGACTGTGGGCTTGGCTCTATATTCCATGTAGCTATGCACAGCAAAGCTTTAAATCCTTTAGCTCTGGTACAAATAGCTGTATAACTCCTGCTTTTAATACTTTCAGCCTGAACTGTGAAAATCATGCAAAAAGCAAGCTCACGCAGTCCAGGTAAAGTTCCGTAGAGAAAATGAGTATAGCTATTGTTCTCATGTCCAGTTTTGTTTACCATGTCTGTATTAAGCTAGGCACTTTTTTAAAAGAAACAGGGATTTTAAATGAACCCATGAGAAAAATTATTGACGTGTCCCTGGGCAGATCTTACAGTAAAACAAATGAACAATCCACCTGGCTCTCCTAGAAACCCATGCAACTGCAGTCAGTGCTGGTAAACACCACTGTTATTGTTGCAAGAGCCTGCCAACCT